GCCAACAAACACCTCGCCATATCTGGCGCCGTCGGGGAGCAGGTCGACAAGCGCCACAAGCCATGTCCGGCACCCGGACGGGTCTGCAGCGCGTAGTCCCCGCTGTACGCCGGGGAGCAGGTCGGCAAGCACCACGCAAGTCTGGCGCCCGGGTGAGGCTGCAGCGTAGAGTAGCCGTAGTAGTTGTCTTGCACCGGCATGACTCCGCCGGGGAATTGCATGCCGACGAGCACCACATCGACTAGGCCCAGCTGCCCTCAGAACACGCAGATGTTGGCGTACACCATTTCGGGTCCGGGTTCACGGTGGAACATGGCGACAGGCACCAAGTGGACCTGTCGCACGAACACGGTGGAGCTGTGGTATGCCGCCATGCTAGGTTGGAAGCCGTCCACGCCGGAGCGGCGGCAGCGCCGAGCTGGCCGTGGAACGTGCTGGTGCTCATGTTTGCCTCGCCTCCCTGGACCGTGCCGGCCAAGCCATGGTTGGTGGACTCCATCGTTGTCGGCCTCGCCGCCTCACCTCCGTGGTCCATGTTCCCCTGCTCCGTCTCCGGCAATGCATGAACGACTAAACGCCCGAGCGAGTGGTGGGCTACCGATCGGGCTTTGGTTGCTTGGAGCTCTACAGGTTCTTGAGTGGATTGACCTGTGCTTGGGGCGCTCGTTATTATATAGCTAAGCCAAGTGATGCCAATGTGGAGGGAAGGAAGGCGACCGACCCGACGCCGAGTCGGCGAGCCCGGCCCAGCCCGACTTTGGATCTTCTATAGGAGTGTGTTGCGCCGTGCGCCGCCGAGCCTTGGCGTTGGCGATTGGCGTGATGGTGATGGATGGACCCACCCCGGTTACGATGAGCATGATCCCGATCCGTCACACCGCAAACCCGGCCAGGACGACGACTGAATTTCCTCGCTTTCGCCCTCCCTGTCGGTGTCACTCTGATAGTCTGATGAACTCACAGGCAGCCGCTGCGCTTGGACTAGTGGACCACCCTGTTGCTTGCGTCGTGTCAGTCAGGCATTCCCTTCCTCTCTCCCTCCCTTTCAAGTTTCAAGAATCAAGCACTAGAGCGCTCCAAATAATAATCTAGAAACTGGAAGCTGCCCTTGTGTTAATAATAATTAGTACTACTAGGCAAAGGCAAATTGAGATATTTATGAAGTTTGTTACATAGGTGTTCTAAGATACTTTCATCATGCTGTAGAGATTGTCAGATAATAAGGGATTTTACTAAGTGATGGCCAAATCATGTCAGTGCTGAGGTGGGAAATGCCACTTTTTATAACCCCACGTATCATAATCATTCCTGAACTTGACCATCCTCTTGAGGATCTTTTCAGTATCAGACCATGAGGCCTCATCAGGTAGTAGCTGTAGGGCGTGGCTTCAAGTCTGGCAAATTATTGGCTGCAGCTGGGATAGTGACTGATGTGCTGACTGAGAAGTATATGACCACTATGTGCAAAATCACTTATTGAGACAAAAACCCACCTGCAGTACAGACACCTCTAATTGTCACTTGTGAAGGTAGCTCAAGCACGCAGAGTCAAAAAAAAAAAAAAAACTCAGAGGCCAACCAGAAAACGTGTTAATGTAGTGATATATGCTAAGATAATGCAGGTGATTCCAGCCATCAGTATAGTAGGCAAGGCCGACTTGGCTAATTTGTTTAGTAGATAGGCAGTACTGTTGATTCAGTCCCTTGATCAAGTGTAGACTTAAACAAAAGACTAATCTCACTTGGTTGTAGTTAAGGGGGGCTGAAGGGGTTCTGCATAAATTAAATCGTGTCCTCGTGACAACCTGTATGGTGTTTCTAACTAATTGGATTCAGCTACATGTGCCCCGGCCGACATGGTGCCATCAGGATACACTTTGATCATCTCCCACTAGCTGGTTTTGATTGGCGATTTAGCATATTATACTAATTAACATCGTACTTAAGAGCTACATGGTCCCTTGCATAGTATCTTACCCTGCAATTGGTACTATATGCAGGTCTTTTGATTGTAATTAAGTTCACTACATAGCTTGGTAGAATCAGGATAAAATAACTGTCCCAATTTGCCATCAATTCCAGCAAGCTCATCAAAACAACTGCGAGAGTGGTAATAAATAAACCCACGGCACTGGCACACGTGATGTCCCACATCTTCGGCTGCTTGGTTTCACAGGCCACCATCGCATACGGCAACTCGGAACCTTAATTTGTTCTCCTGTGGTTGCTGTCGCTCCGTCCTCAGCAGCGGCACGCCGGCGCCTAGCAGACGAGACGAGATCGATGGGGGTGGCAGGTGGACTCCGACAACGCGGCCCGGGCCTGGATGGTCCCCATGATTGCATCGGCATTCGGCAGCGCCCCCGCCCGGCCGGCTGTAGTCAACCAGAGGAATATGCTTAGCCGTGTGGCCACCTACTTTGCGAGCCCGCCTCAGCAACACACACTCGTTGTAGGAGATTGTCTGGAATCCAAGCCTATCGAACCTTGGTGACATGAAAATACTTGAAACCAAATAATCCAAGACACTATGTATCTAGGATTGTACGATAGTTTGCCTGTGTTTGATTGTCAGCAGAGACCCTTATGCAAGCTTGCACAATGCTCAAAGTAGGTCAATGCCCTTTAAAAAGAAAGGTCAACGCAGCACTAGCTAGTATGCCAGATGTTTCTGTATTAGACAATTCAGATTTACATAAGCCGATGGACACACAAAAATAAATGTTTTACATTTCTATCTTCACTAGAAACATTAAGCCGCTAACACAACATATAAGGTGGCTATATGTAATAAAATGTAAACAATAAACATAATTTTATCAGACATGGCTCATCTACGTAGGACAACCAAATACAAAGACATTGCATACGTTTATGCTGGCTTAGGTTGTGCCATATAAGGTCTAATGCAGGCTAAGACTAGTACAGGCAACCAATCAGACCCTATGTAGAATAAAATGCATTGTCGGTTCTCATACTTAACTTAGAGTGTCATGTAAGTTCCTAAACTTCCAAAATGCACTTCCACACTCCTGAAATTAAGAATAAAAATGTTATGTGAGATGTAAATCACCACAAATTGAGTTAATCCACCCACATGCTGCATGTTGATTAACGTGATAAAAAGGCATTGATATATGGGACCCACCATGTCGGTAGGAAAGAGTGGAGATGGGACCAACATACATGACGCACATGTTAGCCACACCATTGTAACAGTTAGTGTGCCACATAGACGGATTAATAGAAGTTGGGGTAATTTGGACCTCGGTCGGCATGAATTTGTAACTTTAGATATGTGGAGTTGCATTTTAGAAGTTTAGAGATATGGATATCATATTGGCATCCCAAGCCAAGTTTAAAAACTGGCAATACAGTATGATACATTTATCTTGACATTGTAAGGGCAATTTATCTTGTTCATGCAATCGAAGAATCAATTCAACCATATATCATAGAACGAGCGCAATGTGTGTATATGCATTTAAATAAATGTCATTACTTCATGTCTTAGAAAAAAGGGAAAACGGTGTTTTGCCCCGTCCGAGACACTACAGGAACTGTTGGCTTCCCAGTGCCGCTTGCACTCGGGAAGGCCCATTAGACTACGGGAAGCCTTCCTCGAGTGCAACACTGGGAAGAGCCTCCGCTAATCCTCTCACGGAAAATCGTCTTCCCGAGTGTCAAAAATCGTGCACTCGGGAAGGCTTTGCGAGTGCCGTGTTGGCACTCGGGGAAGACTTGACGCCGCCGTTGGCCGACGGCCGACGCCGCGTCGTTTTTTTGATTTTCTTCCCGAATGCAACACTCGGGAAAGATTTTTGAATTTTTTAATACTCTTCCCGAGTGCCACAAACTCGGGCACTCGGGAAGAAATTTGTTTTTTTTTGTAATCCCTCTTTCCCGAAAGTGCCACAAAGACAGGCACTCGGGAAGCCACCTCTAAATTTTTTTTTGTTTTTGCTTTTCCATGTAAACAACAAAGCATATATATATCACAAACCACAAATCAACACCAATATGTCACAAACCACATTTATATATCACAAACGACCAAATTTGTCCGAAATCCACAATATATTACAAACCACACGTTCAAAAGTACACACTATTCCAAGTTCACAAGTTCAATACAAAAAACGACTCAAGGCGGCTCACGGCGATCGTGAGGGGTGGGGCGCCCCAGCGTCACGATCCCGCGACGGGTCCAGTGGGGATGGCCCGACGTGCGATGCCGGCGACCCTTCGACATGGTTCGACGCCGCCCCCGATTGATGCTGCAAAAAAGAGAGGAGATTGCACGTGAGTGATTAAGATAAAAATGTAAGGAGTTTAAAGAAAAGTTGAAAATTTCGGCAGCACCTCCCCTGCACGGGGAGGTTTCCAAAACTACAAGAAAAACGTCGGCACGAAGGCCGACAACCACATTTTCGGCACGAATGCCGACACATCAACAAATCCGGCACGAAGGCCATCACTAGGTTTGACACTAAGCATGAGCAAAGAAAGTAAAACATCCGTACTCATACTCACCGGAGTAAACTCTCGACGATATGGTGGTGGTGGTGCAAGCAGCTCTGCTGGGATCTCCCAACCTTGTTGCTGCCCAAGCATGTTTATTGATGCAATGATACAACAAAATCAAGTTGGCTTAAGAAGAATTTGAATAAGAGGGATATTGTTTCTTTTTTTCAAATTATACACTGTCAAAATGTGATCCCCAATGAAAGAAATGGAACACAGGAGAACTGTGAGGGCCATGTATAGGTTAGTGGCAATTGGTGATAACTCGACAGCATTACCAGCTTCAGCAAGTGAAAATACAATCCTCATTTGGAATAATGAACCTGCACTAACTAGCACATTCCAGCACAAGGGTAGAATAAAAGGGTAATTTGACAAATATCAACAACAACAACAACATAGCCTTTCAGTCCCAAGTAGATATAATACCAACCAAGTGTATATAGGTAATTTGACAAATATATAGAATTATAATATCAGGTGATCACCTCAATCGTAGTACCCAGGAAATCCAACACAGCTGGAATTTTGGCTACAGCTGAATCAGTATAGATCTGTGATTAGGAAAAATAGAATCATACTTCCAGACAAGCACAAATACAGACTAATCACAGTAAGCTAAATGACAGAAAAATGAATAACATGAATCAATATTCAAACCAAGTGCAAATAACAAAAGTTGAATATGATGTTAATATGTTAATATAGAAAGGAATATGCTCCTGATTTCAATGTTGAGCTTCACCACAATACCACATAGAAGAGCGGAAAAGAAAGACGACAAAATTGACATGGATATTCCAATGAACAAATAACCTCTCCAAAGATTTTAGAACTACAATTTGGAATTACTAAATTGGCTAATTCAGTTACATGCCACAAGCCAACAGAACCTTGAACTGGAAAGATGCAGAATTTATAACTTTTATAACTAAAAGTCACTACACATGCCAAGATAAGGGTACCTCAAAAATGGTAAGAATACACTTCAGCTTTAGCAGAGTTACATGTCTTGGTTTATAGTAAGTTAGTAACTAAGAAAGTAAAATACTTAGAAAATAATACCAACCAAGTGTATATAGGATCATAAAGGGGTGCACTTTCAGATTACCTTATTGACAATATTCTGGTAAGCAAATCTGAGAGAGTCGATCATCTCTTTGGAGTCAGAGGAGTCAATTTTGATCTTCAAAGTCTCCAACTAACAAAATGCACACCATTTCAGAATTATTTAAAGTAAAATTGTAACTTCAATGGTTGTGCTGATGCATTCATGCAGATGTACAGCAAGAAAACTAAGTGCAATACATACTTTCCCTCTGTTTGAGTTTATATAAAAAAAAAATGAAGATTAGACTTTTCAAAAGCACCATAGCAACTTGCAAAGGAAAAAATTCCAACAATAACTTTACTTTCTAGAACAATGTGAGAACAAATAACTAGTTAGCTTTCACAATTTGTACCTTTTGATTAGTTAAATTACAGTCATATAACTCACTGCTGATTAAACCAGTACGCCATGTGAAAGTTCTTCACTGGTGCAAACAATTACATACGATACCATATAATGTGGTTATATGAAATGCAGATAGGTTTAGCTACCTAAAACTGGTTGTGTTCTCATATTCTACAATATATGATTTGCAGGCAAAGAATAAAATGGATAATTCCTCAATAAACAGAGCGCGGACATTTTTCACATCTTTCTCACTTAAATCTAGAAAGACCTGAAAGGTTGACGAAAATTAAATGATTAAGCATAGATCTGTGTGTAGTCAAGAAAAATATCAGTATAACAGGAACTAAGCTCACATAAAAGCTACATCCTAAAGGTTATCTTACTGACTCACTGTGCAAGATCGTCAAAAAGAATCAACAGATCTTCTCAATGTTACAGTTTAAGCATTGCAAAGAAACAAGCATATAGCCAACATAGAAAGGTTCAGAAAACAATTACGAATGAGGCACTGATTCAAAAGGTCTATGCTAGTGATCAAAGGACCTTTAACTGTTGATTTAAACAAAATTCAAATTTACTACAGACAGATTCTCAGATTTGAACTGATCGAATGTTTCTAATTTACAGAATAAAATTAATGTATATTTCTTATGTTGATTATAAAAAAAACCCACAAGGCTACCTGTTGTCTACGTTTAACAGGCAACTGTGAAAGGACATCTTTCTTCAACCTACGGATCATGACAGTTGCTTTCATCAAATTATGCAGCTCCTCGTGATTGCTAGCACCTTGATACAACCCGAAAAAACCCTGCAAAGTCAAGTCGTAATTAGTCACAATTGGCAACAGAAAATGAAGAAAGCAATTTGATAAATCTAGTACTTGCCTCGGGGCCGGGGCTGGGAGCGCCAGGCGGCTTGCCTCGGGGCCGGCCGCAGGGGCCGGGAGGCGCGCGCGCCGGACGGGCCCCGCCCAGCAGGGGGACAGGGGCGCGCCGCTGCGTCTCGGCTGCTTGGCGCGCGCGCGCTGGGCTGGGCGGGCGCGGGCGCTAGAGGGCTCTGGGCGCGCGCGCTGGGGGCTAGCTGCGCGGCGGCGGGCTGCGACTCTGGCGCTTGGGCGAGCTGGCTGGCGGCGTGTGGGGCTCTGGCCTGTGCGCGCGGGGGCTTCTGAGCTATGGGGGTGTGGGTGGCCGGGTGGGTGCCAGTTAGGTTTACATAAGGCCTGCTGGGCCTTTTTTTTTAAGTCTTCCCCGAGTGCCCTGTCCTGACACTTGGGAAAGGGCCTCTTCCCCGAGTGTCAGAGAAGGCACTCGGGGAAGAAATTTTGTTTTTTTTGTTTTTTCTGCCTAATTTTTTTGTGAGGCCTTCCCACATTATTTAAAACTCCCTGTACAAATTTGGGACAATTTTGACTTTTTTTGTTATATTTCGTTAGTTTTTTCGTTTTTTTTTGAATTTTTTTTGCATACTTGAATTTAAATATGCGGGTGCATGAAATAATGGAATTTAGTGATTCAAAAATTATATTAATGATATTTGGTGTATGTAGAGGCCTTATCCGAGGAACTGATAAAATTAAATGTCGAGCATCTTGTTGATGTAACATAAGCGAACAACTTGCGGGTTTTAGTGTATTTAAATTATATAAAATCGAGCGAAACGAAAATCGATTTTTACCATAGCGCCGTGTTACACATATAACACGACGCCTGATATAAGTTTCGATTTTCGACTTCGCTCGGATTTTATAAAAATTTAAATGCACTTTTCCCGCAAGTTGTTCGATATGTTACGTCAACAAGATGCTCGACATTTCATGCGAGTTCCTCGATAAGGCATCAACATACACCAAATATCATTAATATAATTTTTTGAATCACCAAATTCTATTATTTCATGCACCGCAGCTCAAATTCAAGTATGCAAAAAATCAACGAAACGAAAAAACTAACGAAATATAACAAAAAAAAGTCAAATTGTCCCAAATTTGAAAAGACAATTTCAAATAATGTGGGAAGGCCTCACAAAAAAAATGAGGTAAAAAAAACAAAAAAAACAAAAATTCTTCCCCGAGTGCCTTCCCCGCACTCGAAAGAGGTTTTCCCGAGTGCCGTGACAGGCACTGAGGAAGGCGACCTCTTCCCGAGTGTCCTGCTCGACACTCGGGAAGGGGTTCTTCCCGAGTGCCTTCCACGGCACTCGGGAAGAATTTTTGTTTTTTAAGTTTTAACGACGTGGGCGGGTGAACCGTCAAGTAACATGTTTCTTTTGCCGAGTGCCGATCTTCCCGAGTGTTGCACTCGGGGAAGAGGGCCTTTGCCGAAAATCTTGATCTTTACCGAAAGCCAGATCTCTGCGGCACTCGGGAAAGCCTCTCTTCCCGAGTGCAATTCTTCCCGAGTGCAACACTGGGAAGATTCTCTTTCCGAGTGCCCGATTTTTGGCACTTTCGGGAAATAACGACACTCGGAATTTTGTCTCTCCCGTAGTGAGAAGTTCAATTATAATTTTATCCTTATTTTTTCAACTTTGTGATTTTACCCCTGTTATTTTGAAACGAACGAGCGGTTTGCCCTGGTTTGGATGTCCGATATTTAGAGGCTGATTAAACGATTTAAAAAATAAAACACATAAAATCGGATCTTGAAATGACCGAAATGTCCTCATCATCACGTTATCCCATCTCGCACCGTGTCCACCAAAGGTCTATTAGGCGGGCGCGCGACATCGACGGGAGGCACGGCCGGGCGGGCTCATGCGCGGCGGCACGCAACAAAAGCGGCGCTGCGGTGGATCGGCGGCGAGACATGGGCACGGCTGGCGGTAGCCGCCACTGCCGTGTGAGCTCGTGGCGGCGGGTGCTGCATTGGGCGGCGTCATGGCATGGTCGGTGGAGTGCTTGGCCTTGTGCGCTGGCGCGCAAAAAAAGCGGTAACTGCGGTGGGTCGGCGGCCGCATCGGGCGTGGTGGGCAAAGCGCCGCGCCGTGTGAGTCTCATGGGCGTGGTGGGTGCCACTGGGCGGGCGTCGCGGCATGTCCGGCGGGCTTGAGGGAGAGGGAGGACCTCCTCGCCCAGATCCACGCCGCCGGAGAAGGAGACAGAGGAGCTCCTCGGTCCCCATGCCGCGCGGTCGCTGGAGGGAGGAGATAGAGGGCTCCCCGTGCCGCCACTGGATCCGACGTCCCCGCGCCGAGCTGCCACCGGATCCGTCGTCCACACGCCGCACCATCGCCGGAGGGAGGAGAGAGGGGGCTCGATCCCCCGCACCGCCACTAGATCTGGCCGGGGGAGCAGAGGAGTGTCACCGGATCTCGCCTCCCGCCGCATCACCCGCCTCGAGCCACGAGGGACGCGGCTGTGGCCCTCACCACCGCGCCACCACGAGCTCCAGCCACCGCGCCGTCGCGAGCTCCAGCCACCACGCCGCCGGGGGGAGGAACGCCGCTGGGAAGGGAGTGGTGAGGTGCCGCCGGGCTAGAGAGGGAGAGGGAGGGGGAGGGGGCGCGTACGTGAGGAGAGAGTGTGGCCGCCGCCGCCGCCCCATGTGTCGGGCTGGGAGACGCAGAGCAAGAGGGAGGGTAAAATCACAAGGGCATATTTGTCCTTTGTACAAAAGTTAACACCATTAGGGGAGGATGACGGAATAGGGGCAAAGTGGTGCTTCGTTTTGAATAAGCAGGGGCAAATTCACAAAGTTAAAAAAATAGGGGTAAAATCACAATATCGATATAAAATAGGGGTATGGATGCAAAAGCCCCTAGAAAAAAATGCAATATAGCGCAGTATCATATTTTAATATCTTAAGTTTGACCAATTCCAGCAGGCGATCCTGGCGGCAGCTGCAGGCTCCATGGCACAAGCTGTGGCCTAGGGTGTGGCGGCTATCCAAAAGTTATGGCATCGGTGATGGCTGCCAGTACCAGGATGTACATGGTGGGGGCCACAAGCACGCTCACGGTAGCCTGCAAACCTCATGGTCTCGAACTGCACCATCGACCTTAATCAGAGGCAGCCTCCAAAAATGTCTCTTCAATTCGATTTGATCTGATTCCATCCAAATTTTTTGTTTCTACTTTTTAGCATTTATCTTTCATTAAGTACTTAAGGGCCTGTTTGGAGTTAAGGGCTAATTGCTAGCTAGTTAAAATTAGATCAAATTAGCTCTAGTGCACTCAAAAGGAAGAACTAATTGGTGAGCTAATTTTTTTAACAAGTCTTCAACTAACTGTTAGCCAACTAGCTTGGACTAATTTTAGCCCATCTAGTAACTAGACATGTGTATCCAAACATGCCCTTAGAATTCTCACCAAAGCCATGGAGAAAAGGAGTGCTTAAGTAGATAGATGAAGTATCATGTTTGATACATTTTTTCCTAAACAATATATTATCGAAGAAGTGTTAGTACTAATTTACTTACCAAATTAAGCACTGAATTATTGAGAATACCCATGTGGCACTATAGAATCAAAACTCTAGGACCAATATGCATAAACAACTTGACCTATCATTTTAGTTTTTTTTTATCTTACGATGAATCGCCTTTCCTTTTGCGAACACAAGGTTGATATGTGCCCATGTGTGTCGAGTTATGATGAGTGATTGTGAGGAGATGATCCGCTTTCGTTGAGTTTGGAGATAACCATTGCGTGAGTGCATGTGCGACATATGTCTTTGGCTATGTTGGTATGCAGGTGTGGAGCATAGATGGTCGACGCACATGGAGAAGGTCAAGTAGAGACATGACCTGCCAATGGACTGGGAGTGGTGAAAGACAGACTTGAGGCTTGGACCTAAGAACCAAGATGGCTGGAAGACTGACAGTGGGTTGCTGACACTTGGGGCATCAGCAAGCAAGAGTACATACGGAGGAGTATACCATGTTGACCAAGTCAAGACGACGGTTGACCAAGTTGAGCAAAGATGTTGGAGGACTTGGTGATCGAGCAGTCGAGTGTCAAGATTGTGGAGGAGGCGTAGCGAATATACTTCTCCAGAGGGTTTGGTGGTTTGGGCCTCAAAACCATCGATGGACGGTTTCTCGAGTTTGGGCCTCAAAACCCATTTGGAGTTCCGGTGGGAACGGGAGGATGCACGTGGCATCATCGTGAAGTTTGCGTCGAGACGAAGCATAGTCATGAAGAACCCGTGGCTATCAGATGCTTGGATCTCAAGTTAGACCATTTTGCCCCTAGGTTAAGTGGTTTGGTTAAAATATCTAAGGCATTGTTGGGAGTGTGTAATAGTTCTATAAATAAGAGGATAGCTACTCCTAGCCATCCCATCTCTCTGGTTGTCATTTCCTTAAGTTTCAAGTCTCTAGGTTTCATTTCCTAGCACTGGTGTAGGAGATCCACAGAGTCATTTCCTTAGGTCAGTTGCACGAATTCAGCTGAATTAAAGTCACATTCTAAATCCTTTTGCACTTCACGATTCACATACTGAATATGGCATGTAATGATGAACCGTAGAAACTAGCAGGGTTCGAACAAATGTTTTAGGTACACAGTTGATATGAACATCATTTGTCACATTTGAAATTGTGAATTTGAATACGATTCATTTATATGGTTTACAAACATTTAAGTTTGAATTATAGTAGTGTGATATAAAGAATAGTATTGAGAGAAAATGAAATACGAGTATAGTAGTTGGATATGAAGGATATACATAGACATTGTATCAAAATATGAGAGAAAATGAAATAAGAGATTAGATGTAGAGGGTCTTGTTAAAGTTAGGTGGCAAAAACAGATTACAGATCCTAGTAAAGGGAAGGAGCCCTTATTCATAAAATAGTGGTTGTATTTTAAGTGCCATCATGGCGGTCTTCGGCGAGGAAGAGCCGGTGCTCTGCTTCGGCATGTTCACTCTGCTCCTGCTCGGGCTCACCCTCGTCATCATCAGAGCTCGTGGTGAATAATCGGTTTTCAGTTCTTGGATGCATTGATTCTCCATTGGTTCCTGAATTGACGACATTAACCTAAAACCCCTGAATTGACAATGTTTCTTTACTGCAGGTATGGATGAGTTCTAGAATAAAAAAAGGTGAGTTCTTGTGAAACAAATATATCGAATTCTTTGATGATTGATACTTTCATATGAACAAATACCTGCTAAGCAACTAACTCTTCCCCATAAATCATAGGTTTGGTTGGCTTATGGTAAGTGCGCGTGTTATTCACACCTTCAGTGTATTGATTTGAGTTTTGGAAAAAAAAATGGATTTCATTGCTTCATCCAAATTGTGGACATTCTTGAGCTTTATACATAATACTACATTGGCACAACCATGATTTTGATTCCAAGAATTGGTACTACATGTTGATCGATTTGTGAAATTTGAGTGATGCGTACGAAATGCCTTTGAGAAATGAACTTACATGTTGAGTTGAAAACTATGTACAATCATGTCTAACGGTTCAGGACAAAGTTGTATTCAATTTTTTTCCTTTTTTTGGGTCCAAAGAACCTATATTGGTTGATTCAATGCCTATTTGTTCTATCTCCACATCCATCATGCTTGCTTCTGGCTTACAGTACGTAACCCCAACCTTAAAATTTCATAAGATGCTCCCTTTTGGTGCTAAAATCATTGACACAACTGTTTTCCAAAAATGATGCATGATGTAGCCCTAACATGTTTGTACTTTGGCAGGTACAAGGTGGTCACTCAAGTGTTTGTTGTACTTTTACTGACACATAGGTAAGTTCCGTGCACATTTTCCATCATGGTATGCTTAGGGTTTTACCATTTCATTAGGCGCACCCTGTCGCTGTTAAAGTCATTGACACAATTGTTTTTCAGAAATGATGTATGATGCAGCCCCAACATCTTCGCTTTGGCTGCTAGAAGGTGGTCTCTCAGGTGCTTAGGATGGGTCAAACAACCAGTGCCTTGGATAAGGTGTTCGCACTGTGAAAGGTATGTCTGCTGCAGTGTTTCCTTGCTTAGCAATAGCACAACCTTTTAAAAAACTTATGTGACCAATTTGGAGATTTTGTGATTCACTGTTCTATTTCAGTTTTCCTGTTCTTACCATGAATTACATGTGGTTTCTAATTTGGGTGCATAAAAATGTGTCCCACTTTCACTGGGTTGTGGGCTGGGTGAAGCATGCAACAAAAGGTAGTCCAATGACAGCTGCTATGAAGTAATTTTGTCATTTCCTAATTTGCACCTGTTTACACCAAAATTCGGAAGAAGAATCACAAGGACTCGAAAAGCTCCCAAGATCATGTCATCAAGGAATCAATTGCGTGCAGATCGGAAATAGCTGATTCGGATGCAAAAATTGGAATCGGCTTTCTTCAGATAGCACAAGCGGATAATGACAGAGGCTACGTTCGGCGCCAGGACGAGACATGTTGGACTCTACAAAAAGGAAAAGATTAGAGTCCAAGTTATCTTAAATTAGGATTGTTTTCTTTAGGATCAAAGATTGTGATGAGTCGTGCTTAGACAAGAGTCATACGCAGGTCCCGGGTATAAATATCAAGCCCTGGCTATTGTAATAAAACACACAATCAATCAAATACAAGTCAATTACTTTTTTTGGCTCCGGCCACCCCTTATGAGTAGGAGTAGAGTAGATCTCAGCGAGTACGGCTGCATCGATCTGGTCGACCTCCACTGCTTGTCTGTAAGTACCGTCATGGTTTATACCTCTGTTCGTATGGCTGCATCGATCCGGTCGACCCCACTGTGACTTTGGTATAGGCTAGTTATCGACTCTTGTCTAATTCAAGTATGGCCTGTGTGATTCTGTCTCACACCCCACTGCTTGAATTAGATCAAAGTCAAGTTATCGGCTCTACCTCAGAATAGCAGTCTTTGGTAGATTCATTAAGTTACTGATATTGCTTATTGCTTTCATTGTTTATCTAATTACAGCAATATCATTCTGCCCGATTGAGATTGATTTGGATCGGCCTTATATCCTGTTTAACCCATCGTTTGCTAATCTTAAACTGATCTAATCTACATCTTAAACGATGAGTTATGTTTTTATCGGCTGTTTTGCGTCAATCTTAATCGTGCATAGCGTGCGGTTAAGGCATGTTCGATCTTGAGTAGATCTATTGGTTAGCGAAAACCGTTCCATGGCCCGTTATCACGGCCTGTGTGATTCTGCCTCTCACCCCACTGTTACCACCATGGAGTGAGGATCGTTAGTTAGTAGATCCATTCCTGAGAAGGCATGACCTTAACTGTGCGCTATGCCTGAATCG